CTGTGAAAGAAAGGTACAGGAATACCAAATTCAATAACTATTATTAATTATAATAATACATTACACAGATCAGAACGATGAATTTACATACTTCATAGCGCTCGCATTGTAGTTTGCCTTTTTAAATTTAAGAAAAAGAAAAGTGCATTGACAAATGTGTGTATGAATAACGAAGTTATGCTTCTTTTTTAAGTGCCCCAAAACAGTTCGTCTTCTTCAAGCATTGTTGGAAGAAAGACCAGGCTGTGCGTCATCAAAGAGTTTAGTTATATACACTGGTATAGATAGAGGCGTTAAATGAATTTGGATTGTTAACCTCCTTCATAATAATATTGGGTCTTGTCTTTCTTCGGGTGGCATTAGCCTAACTAGGCGGAGGAGTGAAATCATTACTGTTCCGCGACTTTTAGAGCCAGGGTGACGTGTTACAAACAGCATGTTTTTACAAAGCTGTGACTGAGAAATTCGCGTTGTCACACTTCATATCCATTGACTCAAATCTGTTTACCGCAATATAGATTTCTGACAGAGCACAAAACTACAGCCAGAAGGAGTTCAGATTTAAAAGAAGACTATATGGACGTGGATCAATTTCCCAAGACCACGCTTGAAAAGGAAACTAGGATTATAACAAAACGCCCTAATGTGGAATCCGTAAAGAAAAAGGAAAAGAGGCTGTCCAGGGGACACATGTCGCAAAGCCTTACGGACTGCCTTAGGAAAACTTGGACTCGCATGCCGGAGCTCCACAAGAAGTCTCAAAACAAAGACATCTGCGGGAGGAAGAGGGAGGGGGGATTTCGTTTCTGGCAATAGTCCTTTGGCCTTTGATGATGATGATGATGATGATGATAATGATGATGATGATGATGATGATGATGATGATGATGATGATGATGATGATGATGGACTTGTGACATGTTGGGTGAAGGTCAAAGTTTATTCGAGTCGATTCCCATTCCATAACTGGCGAGTCCGCTGGATTCCGCGACCTGACTCGTACTATGCACTCGATTGTGCGCACCCATTTAGTCATTATATAAGTGTACATCCCACTATAGATATCAAAACCATTGTCGCCACATCGACAGAGTTCTACAACAGTGATCACCAACTTCCTTTTTTCTATTTTATGTTCGTTATTAAGGCTAAAGCAACAGTGCTGGCTCTAAGTTGCACTAACGTTTGTCGTTTACTACCTTTTCATAGAACAACAATACAGTGCATAGTACGAGTACACAGTTTTTGTCGTCTTTATTTGAAAGACATTTTAATGGAGACGACAAGGTCTAATATCGGACACTGGGACAGCGTAGATCTTGTCAACATCTGTACCCCCCCCCCCCCCCCCCCCCCCCACCAACGAAGAGATTATGTCGTTGACCATCTCACAAAAGGGCGTAAGGGCATTTTTTGGCATTTTTCAGGAGAGCGTCTCAAAGTTTTGGACACTTTTTTAATTCTTGCTGTGGCATTACCATTTGCTTTTTCGTTTAAATTTTTGGAAAGATATTAGTACAACCACCGATTTATCATTCCCTATAACGGTTATAGATATTGCGTCATCAGTTTTTAAGAAATTGTCAAAAACAGCTGATACGCCTGTTTGTGAGAACATAATTATGTCCGTAAAGACACAAGATTGACAATACGCCACATCGTTTGGTAATAGAATATAAGAGAAAAGGGATTTTTTTCTTGATTATTGAACAGGTTTATCAACTCAGTATGCCGAAGTGATCTAATTTGGGGAGTGAAAAACGACAAGAAAAAGAAAAGGACACAGCTTTGGGGTCTCCACGATATGAGATGTAAATAACTTAAAGAGTTGAGTTTTTTTTACTTGTCTTGAATGTATTATGCAGAATTGGCACAATACAATGAGTAAAAAATTACTAGTACTGCACAGATCCTTTCATTCAGGACTTCACACCGTCCTTAGACAACAACAATATTAGTAGAAAGATAAATTCTGAGAGTGTGTAATGAATTTGTGTAATACCTTATTAACGTTTTAGCCCATAATGCTCTGTTTATCGATGAAATATTGTGCAAGTGTTTGAGAAAGATTAAAATGATCTGGAAAGGCACTGCAAGGCGAAAACACAGTGCAAGTGGTAGCCTGTTATAAGTTACATGTGGCAAAGTTAAAAGAACATTGTGTATTCCTCCAGTGTGATGAAAAGTGTACTTTGCTATAGGTGGGAGTTTTTTTTTAGGCTGTTCAATGGAACGTCTTTGACTTGATTTTTCTGGGGCTTAAAGATCCCTGGTTGGTACTGCGGGTTTGTAGGAAATAAATAGTTATTGAATAGTCTCTGTTGAGTCTGTTCCATAATATCACTTCAGTTTACGATTATATTGCAGCTGAAAGCATCTTATTTCAGTTTTCTCGCTTTGGCTTTTCTGTGGATACGATTGTTCAGCCTTTGTTTTGTTTCCTTTTCAGTTCAGGTTTGAGAGCTAGATCTAGTCCTTTTAACTCGAAACTGACCAACAGTAGTGATGTGAGTCAACAGCGGGTAACCTAGCAATATGAGCATTAATAAGGGTGGGAAGTTTTTCATCTCTTTCTTTGACATTTGCTGAGCATCATCCTCCTCTTTTTTCTACTTCAATAGTTTCAGCTGATGTTGTCTTACAGTTAGCGGTATTCCATCGACAGTCAAGTAATATGTATTGGTCTTCTGTCCGCGAGAACAACTCGTCCCTTTCATAGATTCAGAGCAGTCAATGTGACCAACAACGAACTCACATTGTAGGTGATGGTCTCCAAGTCTGTAATATTGCTGGAACATTTCCTCTTGTGTTTCAGTCGCAATAGTGCGACAGCTTCGACCATATTTCTCATAGCTTTCAAATTCATACCTGTCTCAAATCCCGTGCACGCCAAAATGCATTTCAGTTATAGGGATAAAGAACTCCGCTCCAAAATGTCCTTTGTGGTTAGCTTCTTTATAGTTATTGGACTGTGGACCTTTCAATTATGAGCAGTCGCTTCCTTCTACCATGAAATTTTCAGGTTGAGTACAATATCTAACAGCAACAGAGTTATTCTCTTCTGGCTTTATCCGTTTTCTACTCACGATGCTATGTGGCTTTTTAAAAAGACTACCATGAGCCTGTTTCTTCAACAAAGTGACTGTGTGTATGGCACAGGAGCAATACACACCTTGCACAAGCTGCAAATATGTCCTTCTTGCATGACAAAGAAACTAGGATTGAAAGAGGGGTCTGCATCTAAATCGTCAATATAATCAGAACTTTCTGCAATACCACATCTTTGGGGACTCATGGACCTAATTAAAACTTTTACTAGTAGAAAATATTTTTTAAAGTGAATGTTTATAAGCTTACAAATGAGCTAAGATACTATCACTTTATGGGTGCATGAACATCAAACGCTGAAAGCAAAGATGAAATTTAAAGCACAGGTACCAAAACAACACGTGTCTACTTGAACTAATGGTAAGGAAGCGTATAAAAGTCCCTCATTGATGCAGCGAGAAAGAATCAGCAAGACTACTAAACAAGAAATGAGATACACCCCCTTCATTTACAAGTAAGAAAACAAAAGGAAACTTCTCATACAATGGCGTATGCGGTCATATGCCTCAGCATATATTCTCACAAAGGGGCGTAACAAGGCATACGTCCCTATGTGAGATGCAGTTTCCTGCCCGAGAGCTATAGGGCCAAATGTTTTCTGCGCATAACTCCGCCATTTTTAAAGCTATCGACCGCCGTTTTGAGAGACCATAGATCTCTGATCTCACTACCCGACATACCATGGTGGTGCTAACTAAAAACCAGTAATTTTGACGATACGCCCTTTTGTGAGATGGGCGACGATGTGTTTCGATCTTACCTACCCTACGATCAGAGGTGTGGCTGAAAGACAGCAATAAGGAGGAGCCAGGAGTGCCAGTAGAAAGAGTCAGGAGCCCAGAGGAGGCGGGGGGAGGGGGGGGTCAGAAAGTGAAGATGAAAACAAGTGACAGAGTATGACTAGAGAGCAGGAAAGGAGGTGAAAGGACAAAAGTTTAGAGAACAACATTTTCCGTATCTGTACAAATGCGGAGCACCGGGGAACAGCGACTCTATTTTTAAAAACAGGAAAAAATGTGTCCGGGGAACAGCGACTGCCCTAAGCGAATACCTCGTCGTGATGGTATTGATGCTGGTATCGATACACCCGCGGCCCGACAAAAAGATTTTAAAATAAACATTTAAACTATGTCTAATCGTAAAAATAATATCAAATTCGGAACCAGCGTGTCCAAATTAACCAAATAACTCGCGGTTGACCGTTTTTCTTGCTGGATTTAGAAGATCACAAAAAGAAGTATTTTATATAGATTCTATCAAGATTGCATCTTGTAGTATTTTCCTATCATGAAGAGGACAGACAACAGTCTCTTTTAACTGATCTTATAATACACCACCACCCCCGCCCACCCCCACCCCCCCTCAGTGTGAAGTGACACGTGGGAGGCTGTGACGCAAAATTCCTTTGATGTTTGCCGCCGCACGGGATTAAACTTTGCGAGCAGAATTTTCAAAATAATTATGGCAGCTAAAAACTGATTTCATGTTTGAAATCGGCGTATCAAAATAAGCAAAGTGGCTCACGTGGAACCTGATTTGATGCCATATTTTAAAACTTGAGCAAACTTTTCTTTTCAATTGTCTATTTTCAATCTAAAGTTAGGTATCAAGGTCACCCAGTGCGTTGTAAGTGCATCTGACGTCAAAGCTGCTAAGACTACACACTGCACACTAGGCTAGATATCTACTATCTACTACTGCACTGTCACCGTACATTGTACAGTAGGCCTATGGTGACTTGGTCGAAAGAATTTGTTGTTCTCTTTATTGAGATGTAGAGGCCTACAGATCCCTCGAATGTCAGTTGACGATTAAGTCCAGAGACTACAATAACAAATTATTAAGAGAGGGCGTAGGGAGAGTTTGTGCCATTAGAATTTCGCAACGAATAT